CATGACTCTCCTTCCATAGTGGACCTACAGTACTTAGCATTGGACCCAATGTACCATTTTGTGCTTAACTGTGGTTATTGGCTAACTGTGGTTAGCATTTGCTGAATGGCAATGCCATTATCTATTTATTGGTATAACTAGTATAACCTCAGTTTACAACAATATTTAAAATTCACGAGGAATGACAATGCCCAAAATCAAAGCGTAACGAACTATCGTGGAGTGAATATTTGGCTTAACCCGCTTGGCTGAGGGCCGACCTCCTGGCCATAGGTCGAAAAGGCCAGGATCCCCATGTAGGGTAGCCAAGGGGCAGCTGCAGAGGTGGAGTTGGGATGCAAAAGTCGCACGCAAGGGAGAGAGATATCGCATTTGGTATTTTTAGCATTCGGTGGAGGAAGGACGAAGGGAGTGATTGCTAATCACTGACGGCTGGGAATGATTGAGCGTGGTTGTTTTCATCCCTCCCGAACTTTAGTTAAATAAACTCCATTACAAAGCAGAAATTCCAGCACACAAAATAAACACCTGTAAAACTTAAAATCATAAGCTTTAAGTCTCTCACTGCTCTTTTGTACTTTACTTTGCATTTGGCTTATTTGCATTTGTTACCTTAAATACATTTTAAATTCAGTTATTTTACAGTAATCATAAACTCTTGTATAACTTTAAGGGCTGGGCTCAGCTAATACCCTATCTCCGATGATATTTCGAACAAGTCTTAATCAAAGTGAGATGATTTAACTGATAGATTCTTGCATGTAACTGTTTGCAAAAGAGGTCAAAACTCAACAGGCCACAAAAACAGCAGTAGTGACAAAAGATGGCTCCCTATGGTCTCACTATTTGTCTGCTCAGGCAGGACACTTGTACTTCCAAACAAGAGCCCTGTATTTATTATTAACTGTTTAGATGTGACTGCCAGGGGGTACTAATCTCGAGTGCTAGTTAAATGACTTAATATTATATACAGACATCACTGTGGAATTGGAATACTTTAATGCCCCAGATGCAATACTTAACTCACCATATGGAAACAAATTCTGCATTCATTTAAAAAAATATATGATCTGGTATTATCCTCCATTTTACTGAGTTGGAGTAAATGATGAAGTTGATAAGATCAGTTTTTACATGAGCTCAGTATTTCAGGATTCTGTGATATTCCTTAGTGTTATTCTGTGATATTCCTTTGCTGCATTTGCTTAAATCCATTTAAATGAAAGACTAAACCTGATACTTAAATAAAAAAGTATTAAGAGTGACATACTGTGCATCTGTCACATATATAAAATATGGTGTGTGGAGCATAAAACAGGTAATAAAAAAAACAGATTGAGGATTCACGCCTACATTTGTGGCCTACATAGTGCATTTCATCCTTTGTATAGGTAGGGTTGTCAATCAAGATGATATATTAAAACACTTTCACACAGGAGGATAAAAAACAGCAGTGGATTTACTCAAGCGGAGATTCAGCTTTTGAATTTTAATTTCTAGTATTATCATTTCATCGTTACTTGCCAGCAATGGTGCATCTTTTCAGCTGTATAACATGCAAATCAGGTTTCAAGAAAGACAAGTCTCAGGATGCAGTCCAATAAGCTCCTCATGTCCATCTGAGCTCAAAAGGACATTTTATACAGAAGTGCTTTACAATAAGTTAGCAAGGCATTATTGAACTTAAGGTCTGATGGCCTGAATCTATCCTTCTATTAAAAATAAACATTAAAGGTTTTCTCTATGCTCAGATACACTTAACCTTAACTGACTTACTTAGTTACTTATTTCACCTAAAGTCCTACCATAAACGGTACACTATGGGAAAGAGTAATAATTCATACAGTACTGTATATATCCCTTGGACTACGATGATCTTCTATACCTTGATCTTGGAAAATAAAAAAAAATGTATGCCTGGCGTGGGTGGCACTGTTGCGGAGTGGCTAAAATTACTGCCTTGTGGCACTGGAGCCCTGGGTTCAATTCCTGGGGTGCTGTCTGTGTGCTGTTTCTATGTTCCCCCTGTGTTGTGTGGGTTTCCTCTGGATGCTCTGAGTTCCTCCCACGGTCCAAAGACGTACTGTACTGGCAGGTTAATGGGCTTCTGAGAAAACTGGTCCTGGTGCCCTGCAATGGACTGGCATCCTATTAGAGGTGTACCCTGCCTTGTGCCCAATGCTTCCAGGGCCAGTTTTGGCCAGCACGACCCTGATAGATAAGCAGTTATCGAAAGCGATGTGATACAGTAAGTCTGACAAAATGAAATGTTTCAAACATCCGGTCGCAGAGAGAACATGATGACGTTGGAAGAGAAAAGAAGCAATGATCTTCTAAATTCAATATGAGCAGGACTGATTTTATTGAAGATTCGTTGGGTAAGCCCTGCTTCTTTAAAGCTCAAGATACCATCTATTCCAAAGTGCAAAGCCATTTGTGAGAACCCACTGGGGGCTCGCCCACTCTTCACAAGTGACTGATTAAGCAGCTGGCCCTGCTGTGCGCAGAGCTAATTCTGACAGTTAATGGCTGCAGGGGAGCCCACAGCTACAGTGGCCCCACTCATCGCGTGCCATTCACGAATCAGTTTCGACTCTGGGGAACCAAAAAACATGTTGGGGGAAGGAGGGTCTTATAGAGGGAAGGAGGTAAGAGAAGAGAATTGACAAAATATGACCTCTTCAGTTTTACTGCTAATTAAGATCCTACCAGGCCGTGGCATTTAATATTCCCCTAATGGCTTGGGAAGTTTTCTAAATCTTTCTTCATGCTGTGCTCGTCTTCCATCATGTCCTGCACTATCCAATCTAATTAAAGCCAATGGGATCTACTTACACTCTGTTCTCAGTGCCTTCCTGTATAAACACAATGGATTAACAAGCTATTGAAGAGAGTTTTGCTTCAGAGGATCATTGCAGTAGACCTGCAAGAGCATACTGCAGCCCACCTCAAGGTCTCTGTAAATTATTTTCACATTGTAGACACAGTTTTTTTCTTTTCACAGTTGTCGACTACTATCTCCTGTAACCACTGATTTGCAATTATTTCAAATGCAGAGATGTGAAAGTGAAAAGTATTCAGACTGTCATGAGCAAAAGAGGTTTATAGTAAATTTAATAGCGAAAGGTTATAAAATAAACAATTAGCAAGGAGAAAAATGAACATTTCCATTTCTTTTCCTCCTTAGGGATTTGAATTCCTATGAGCTGATAAACCTGTTTCAATTTAAACCAAAAGAAGTCTTCTTACAAAGCTCACTCAGCAAAGCGCTGGATATCTTGCTGGAAAGATGAGGCAAAACACACATTTCAGGGCTGTCCAAGTCCAGTAAAATGCAGTTTAAATTAAATTCAATTTAAATTAAGGGGCATGGCACTTTTTTGATCTACTCACTTAAAAGTGACTGATACCATTTCCTAAACCTAGCTAAAATAACCTGAAACCTTTAGAATCACAGACGAAAACTGTCATCAGATTCAGAAGGGAAAACTAAACAAAAAAAGAGACTGAAAATAAACATTAGAACATACCTTTGAATTTGTGAAAGACAGCCCAGAGCTCTGCAATGTCAGTAGCAAAAGTGATGTCAGTGTCCAGAACAATAACTCGCTCTAGGGTTGGAGGCAGGGTCTTGGTTAGAACCAGCTTCATAAGACCATAGATTCCAGAATAATGCTTGTTAGGGATCCAGGACACTTCTGACTATAACAGGAAAAACGTTTGTAAGCACATCATTAACTACAACTGTCCTTACAAATACCAGATTATGTAGTGTCCTCCACAGGAATTCATAACAGTTTGTAGTTGAAGTTGAAGTTTTTTTTCAATCACATTTTAAGTAACTTTAAATATCATTTTTATCTTACTAAAGTCTTACATCTTGATCTAACATTCTTGATTAATATTTTTCACTTGTAGCTATGCTCGATCAACATCACATTAACGCACATGAGAAATAGTTATTACCAAATGCACCTAAAATATTTGCCTTTAATTTGCTTTTAGTTCATTCACCAAGGAAATGCAAATAAAAAGATTAATTTGTTTTTTCTCCTGTTTAACTTACTCTTCCTAAAAAAAAAAGCAATGGCTCTTACCTGTCTTTCTCAAGTTAAAATGCTAAAGAAATATGAATTTTTGCTCTAATGCTGTGTAAAATACAACCTTAGAAAAGGCCAGTATTCTCTTTTTCTGTGCTACATTTTTCCAGGAAGGTAAAGTGAGGCCTACAGGAAATATAAAAAGACAGAGCATAATGGGGGGCCAGGAGGGCTCACCTTGAGTTCGTCTGCATCGTAGAAGTCAACACGCACTGCTGGGACCATCCATGTGTGGAACAGCGAAGCCAGGATCTGCTGAGCAATGGAGTCTGTGATGAAGTGGAAATGAAGGGGATTTCGCCTGAAAGACACAAGCCCATTAACTTGCAACAACTGCAACAACTTCCAACAACTGCAAAGAAACCGCACATTTTGAACTGAACAGATACCCCACAGTTGCAGAGGAAGGCAGACATGAAACGTCTTGAGATTTGCATCACTTTTATGTGCCCCAGCATACTCTGTGACAATTAATTTCAAGCCAAGGAAAAATATTCTGAAAGTGTCACTGTTGTCTCAAAGAAATTGCTCTGCAGGGAATAGCCTAACAAACTGAGTGACAGAGTAAAATATTTTGATTTTGATTGAAGTAAGCTGAATTATGCACTGAAGAGGGGGAGATATCTACAGTATATAACACTTGCATGGTACACACATTTTCTTTTTCAAAGGCAGCATTTTTTTCATGCACAGCATTGGAAAAGTGAAAAACTGTGGGAGAGGTATCCTCCTGATTTATTACCAGGAATTAATACCTGCATTTTTCATTTAACTCATATGTGCAGCTGAGGCTATCTGTGTAAATAGTTAAATAATAAATATTTTCTCAAATAAAATATAAAAACATCTTAAATGATTTTTGTTCCTTGTTACCGTCAAGTCAAAACATTTTTTTTAAAACAGGTCAGACTTAGATTCTAGAACTCTACCTCAGTATAGCTTTTAGAGTAATACAGCAAATACTACAGAAATACTATGAGCTACTTTAAAAATACAGATGTGTAGGAAGAAAGCAAGTGTGCCAGATCCTGTCTGAAAATTGAAATTATTTTAATGTAAGATCTTATTTATTAGATTCGATTTTAATCCAACATTTTACTTAATCTGGAATGATCCCAATTTATTGGATGAGAATAAATGTGTGGCAAACTAGAAGGACACAAAAGCAGTTCCAGGCATGGACTACTACAAATTCACTGAGAAGCATACACCTATTTTTACTACACCCATGTGCTAGATGTGACATTTGTCCTGTGTTGGAGTCAGATGAATCAGTTTCCCTGTACTAATAAGAAATGGACAAATCTATAGGAGCATCCTACTACTCCCCATTGTTTAAACTTGTGGTAGCATGAGATCAGAATTCTGTAACAGGCAAAACTGAATACTGACCTGGCAAGAGAAAGTATTACAGTACGATTTAGTGTAAACTACAAGAAACACTTTAAAGCCACAGAAGAAATTTCTGAGTATGTCCTCTTACATCTCTCAAATGTTGAAGATGCACTCTACATTGCCTAGTGTCAAAACACCCAGGACGTGAGTAAAAAAAAAAATTCCCAGAGCTTCCCACAACACCTTCTCATTGATGTCTATCCATGTCATTCTGGCACAGGAAGTCAAAATGGGACCACAAAATGTAGGAAAAAACAGGCTAATCTTTAAGTAGCAGCAAAAAGATAATTGAAGAATAACATTTATCTTTAAACCAATAGGCTTTATTATTTTAACACTCTGTAAGGGTGTTTTTTTAATGCTTATTACTTTTAATGATGTCACCATTCGGCACAGAAACAGCACGCCTGTATTTAAAATCAGCACATCTTTACGTTACAAAGTGCACACACTCAGGCTGTTCTCCAAGGAAAACTACCACCTGCTGTTTTGTGGAAGACTAAAAACGTTGTTCTGAAATAGAATGTACTAAAATCCCAGTGGAATGATTCCAGAATACAAGAGTAAAGGCACCTATTCATCACCATAAACAAAAAATATTTATGTCCAGACAATGACCCCCCAAAACACCTCTAAAAGGGCAGATCCATGTTCTCAGTGAGAGGGAATATTTTGTTTTTATGCTACACTCAAAAATATTTGTTTGGCAGTTATTGCCAAGAATGAAAATGCCAAGAGCATTGCACCACTTGAGCAGTATTTATTTGGCATGAAACACTCAGAAGGTCAATAGAGGGCAAATATTCCATACTGATGCATCTTTTTTAGGAATGATGACAAATTAAAATCTTCTGTTTTGAACAATCAGAAAAACTTTTTTCCATCACAATAAATCAGCGTCAGTTAAATTAGTGTACTAGATTTTAAGAGTAAAAAGGAGATGTCTGAGTGCTGTCGACAACCACCTAATAAATATTCACTTTTTGCTTATGAAGCAGAAACAGTTTGTATGCATTTTTTAATGCCAAAAAATTCATAATACAGGGATAAGAAAAACATATTATATGGTAATGTACAATAAAAATACAACAGTCTAAATGTTACATCAACAGCCGACTGTATGCATAAAGTACATAGTAATTGATATGTTTAAAAGCAAGCATATGGGTTTGTCTATTACTCTTGTAGTATTGTCCCTTCAGATAATAAAATACTGAGCTCAAGACATACTGTACAATTTCATAAAAGCAAAAGGTATTCAATGTTTGGCTTTTGAAGTGCATTGAAATTGCCAAATTGAGATAATTAAGGATCTGGAAAAACTGCCATTCATACTGACTGTAAAGACAATTTTGTGCAACTGAAGAACAGCTTAGGATGGGCTCCACTTGAGTCATGATGATCACCTGGTTGGTATCAAAATAACTGCCTGTGAGAATGAGGTGCTCTGCATCGATCAACAAGATCGGAGAAGCCAGGAAAGTGGCACAGTGAGGGACAGACCATATCCTAGAAGGCAGGGGATCACAACCTGCCCTCACACCAGTCCACTACATTCATCTTAGCTACGTATCTGTGTGATCCCTTTCAGTGTCGCAGCTACAGCACAAGGACTTACGTGAAGCAATTTCGCACACATCAGCAAAAGGACAGCAGTTCTCTGTATGAATCATACATGTCTTGTAGCAGAAAATATACGATTCACAGAGTCGCCCAAGAGACGGCTTCATCAAGGGTATTCAGACAAAATTGCATGAATACACTGCAACAACATTGATGTATGGTACAGTAACTAGAAACACATGCTGTACAGTATGCAGTAAAATTATAGGAAGAAGTAGTTTAAGTAGGGAGCTGTGTCAGCATGCGCAGGCTGCAAAGGAACGGGTTAAGGGTTTATTCCATGCTGAAAAGAGAAGAAAGGAAACACGTTTCGGTTGTGGATATCTTCTTCAGGTGTGAGCTGAAGAAGGCCCCACGCCCTCACAGCTGAAACACCTGCTCCTCACACCTGAAGAAGGCTCCAAAACGTTGTGTTTCCTTTCTGTTCTTTCCAGCATGGAATAAACCCATTGCTTGTTCCAAAATTATAGGAAGCCATGCAAAGTCTTTGACAGACTGACAGTTTCCTATAGGAGTCCCCATTTTTCCTTAGCCTTTTTTTATCTTAGACACGTTGGCAGTTCTATTGATACTCTACAAGGTATTCCCAAGGTATTTGTATTGCTGCCTTGCAGCACTGGGGCCCTAGAGTCAACTCTTGGGAGCACTATCTGTGTGGAGCTTGTATGTTCTCTCCAGGTTTGTGTGGGTGCTCTGGTTTCCTCCCACCATCCAAATACATATTGGTAGGTTAACTGGCTACTGGGAATACAGGCCCTGTGATGGACTGGCGTCCTGTCCAGGGTGTATCCTGCCTTCCTATCCTGTTGCTTGTTATGACTGGCTCCGCAGCCCTGTGTTTTTTTTCTATTTAATGTTTGCTATAAATACAGATACATTTAAGTGAAAGACCATAGCTGTCATATCTAAAAGCTGTTAGTGAGCTGGAGTTAGTGTTAAGGGTTAAGAACTTACGGAAAAATTAAATACAGGTCAAGAGGCAAAGGAAGAGTTATTTATGCATGATAGCAAACAATTAAGCTTAAGTAGTATTTAATCACAGAGCAAAAGCACTAAAAGAAAGTCACTGGGGACAACCAGATGGAGAAGTTCCACTAGCAAAAGTATGGAGTATACGATACTTGACAGTTACCTCACACTTGTCTGAAAAAGAGGAACACATTAAAAATAGAGTTTTCTAACATTTTTCTTTGTTTCATTCATCATCAGCAGGACAAATCCTCTATAAAAAGCAACAACTAAGCAAACACAAACAGAAATATATTGTCATTGAAACAATATTTTTGACAATCAGAGGAGTGAAAAACACAGTAGCATTTCTTAAATAATTCAAAAAGTACATACATTACATCATAATTTGGTTCCATATTTATTTCCTTAAAATATTTCCTGCTTTTCACAACCAATCATGTTTTATGTGCAAGAGGAAAATATCGTGCCTTTCAAACTAAGTATACCAATTTAACAGGTGATATCAAACATTGCACTAGAGCAGAAAGAATGAGTCACGATCTGTTATTAGACAGTGGATCAGTTTCTCAATGCCATGCATTCATCCCACCTTTGAATCTATTTTTTACTGTAATTGCTGGAACAGTGAGCCACAAAGGGCAAAAATGATTCAGAAAAATATAAGAAAATCAGGAATAAACGTAAAGGGATGAGTTCATAAAAAAAGGGTCAATCAGATGACACATACTCAGCTTTACTCCTATTGGGTGCTTACAACAAATGTTGTACTTTTGCATTTTACAAAGGGTTAATGAAGAGAAAGATTAAATATTAGGAGTCTTCCACCTAAATAATACCACCTCAATAAAATACAGTGGAAGTGGCATCCTTGATTTAATGTACAGCCTCCTATCTCATATTGTAAGCAGGTGAAATAGCAGTTAGATGAAACAGTGGAGCAGGAGACAAGGAGCAGTTTTGCCTGGGTTGCAAACGGACATGTTGCTTGGCAACTAGAGTAGAGGTACTGTATGAAGAGGGGACAGGAGTAAACACCGTATGTACTGATTGCCAAAGCAGCTAAGGTAGCAGTGAAGCTTAGCAGTACATGATGGGAGAAAGCTTCAATCTGTGGCAAGAACATGAAATTCACCATTGACAATACTGCTGTGTTTTGTGTTTTTGTAAGAAAACTAGGAAAGGGGTAACGTTACCGGTGGAAAAGTACAGATTTCACAAGTGTAACCACATCCCGGCTGGCATTGTACCCAGCGCAAACGATGGCCACATGGATAGTCTACAGAAGGAAAAGACACAAGAGACAGATAAAGACACATCAGTATATTTTTTCACTTTATCATGAGAATCCCCCCCCCCACACACAAAAAAAACAGTCATCTATGGTCGCAACAGAAAAATGACAGTACAGTAATTAGTACTGCACAAGCTGAATTGTCCAAAATGATCCCGGATGCCCAGCTAGGAGGCCCTCACAATAGAAAAAAAGAAAAAGATGCAAAAGGCTGCTGTTGCCGAATATGAAAGGGTTTATTTACATCCGTCACGAGGCAAAACTATGGAACACAAGACAACGGATTTCTATCTCCACAGGCTCTGTCATGCTTCATAAGATGTTTGCGGAATTAGGCCAGACCAAAAACAGATGGCTTCCCGCCCTGGTCAAAATCACCCAAATCAACAACAAGGTTCACAACCTGCAATGCCAAGTTTTTACTACTAAGCCAACTACAGGCTTGTTAGAATACCTAGAGAAATGCATGTTGAAAGGCAATAATGGTGCTCTTTCTAGAATGTGAATTCTGTCATGAATGATATTAAATAAATAAAAAATATCTGAAATCATAAATTGGCATAGAAAGCCAATCGGCTTCTTCCCAATTTCTGCTGTAATTTTTTACTTCACTAGCCGTTTTTTCTCTCGCTCCCCATTAAATATCCCTCCTATTGTAATTTGGTTATTGCTTGTCTTATTAAAGACTACTGAATTCCTGAAGACAAAAAAATGAGAAGGAAGCTATAGTGTCGCTATAGTACAGAGGTGGAAGAGTCTAGAGTGGATTTTTAAGGTGAATAAGCTCCAAATTGAAAGACTTTTGTCAAGCGAATATGAATCTGTTCTGGGTTGCCTGGGGCTAGCCACTGACTTGAGGCTGGCATTTCAGACCAAAACCAGCCTTTTGATAAGACAGCAAAGTAGGGTTCTTTGGAGAAGGTGACTTCTTCCGAGGATGTTATTAAATAAAAACTACTATAAAATACAGCATAAAAACTCCATTCAATTTAAACATTCCAGTTTGCCTGAGGGGATGTGACTCTTCTGTAAAGTCCTTATAAACTGGGGCTACAAATTGACATTAGTTGGCTACCTGCTGAGAGACAGGATGTTAAATTGCTACATTCTCAAGCATCCTGATGTCCTTATTCCTGTCATGTTTCTGAGTCATGACATTTAAGGGAAAAGAGAGTTTTTCACAAGCAATCTGAGAGGTTCCATCTTTTGTCAGCATGCCAATGTGCTTTCAAGGTCTAAAGATAGAACTATGCTATTTATACTACAAGCTTCTGTTCATAGCTTACCAAAACATCTGTAGGGTGAAAAAAAATCAATCACACCAATATTGATTTTAATGTAACTTTCAAAGTTGATCCTTAGCCAAATTTGAGAAGTATATTGAATTCACTCGGTGATAAAGTACATTTCAAATGAAATGCAAATGAAAAAAAGACAAAAAAATAGAAATGCAAAATGGGGCAGCATGACAGCATATCAACCGATATTACTTCCTAACAACTCCAGGATTCTCTGTTTAGCGCTAGTTTGAGGTGCCTGTCTGTGGGGAGTTTGCATGGCCTTCCATGTTCTTTCAACATGCAAACACATGCTCATTTAGTTTGATTAACAACTCTAAATTGTCCAGATCAATTGCCAGGGATGCGGTGGGGGGGTGTTCAAAAAGAATTAATGTTACTAACAGGGTATGTGAGGCCACAATATGCTTGCACATGCAAAACGTCATGATGCAGTCTTTGAATATGTTTCTGGCAGGAATATAATAATGTAAAGTGATGAAAGCATCATGCGCCATTCCATTCACCATCGATAGACACCAGCAGTGCTAATAGTTGACACAACCAAACAACGCACGGTCAACCAAATCAAATGACCTGGCAGGGTCTATCTGACAGATTACTTGGCTAGCTGAAACAACCACCTTTTTGCTAACAGAAAGGGGCATAACTTCAGAATCATAAACCCAGCAATAGTCACTGCAACTATCAAATATGTACATCCCTCCAATGGTACAGACACCCAGTGTCCACTACACCTGTAATTCATCATCCTCTCATTGACGACAAACCCCCGATAAAGTGATTTCTGATTAATCCATGTTCTGCGTTTTGTTTGGAAATGTCAAAACATGTAAAATGAGGTTTCACTGACAGCTGTTATTATTTTCAGTGCATTTACCGTGGACAGCCACTGATTTTGACAGACTTTGGTTTGCTATTGATGAAGGTAGTTTCACCACTTTGCACTACGCTGACAACACTTCACTACCTGTGAGCCACCCACTGTTACAGCAGCATCAGTGTCAGCAGAATCACTTATCTTTCAACACCATGATGTTCACCCTCACGGGCCTTTTAAAGCTTCTTCTATCTGGCCTTACAAATCCCGTAAGGTACAGTATGTGACTTTCAAACACTTTTCTTTAGGAGCATTTCTGCAAATTATGAAAATTGTGTCACAGCCAAAACATATAGAACAATCCTAACATGATCCTGTTTATGCCGGTCTAGATCATGGCATTCCTAATGTGCATTTGTTTTAATCACAAGTGATTTAAAACACCTTGTAAAAAAAATGGTGTTCTTGCCAAATATATATTTTTAGCAGTGTCTCAGGAAAGTAAGATACTATTCTCATCAGTTTGAGAACTTGTTAATGTCACCTTCACATATTTTGGCAGTATTTAAAAGATTTTATCTAACTGTTTATTGGCAGAGCACTTCACGAGTGAGGGTAAATATTGTTTTTACATACAGTATATACAAGCAGCTTGTATTATACCGCTTGATTAAATAAAACGGACTCCAAACCTGACAGCGTATGAATTATTCTAGAAAACATTAAATGTACTATATTGTGCACTATTAAGTAAAATAACAGTGAAAATGTGCTAAAAGTTTGACAAACTCAGAACACTTAACAATACGTTTTGTTGTTACTTTAGAACTATCTAAGGTAGTTCAATAATTATAATAATGCAATATGATTTTCAACATCAAATCATCACGCTGATCTAAAGAGGGGGGGTGCTGTGTCAAAAGACTGTTAAAAAACAGATTATTTCAGAAAAAATAAATTCACCAACACAACATGAAGAGTAACAAATTCCTGAACGCAAGACACTCTTAATACTACTTAATGTTTGTCTTACCTCACACTTGTCCACAGGGGGGTGCTGTGCGCAGTCTGAGCTGTTGCCTGCAGCCCCAGAACGCTGGCTCTCACTGTCCCCTGTGCCCTCCTCCGTGGAGTAAGCCCTTGACTGGTTGCCATGGTGCCCATGGTGAGATTTAGGCACCGGGCCTCTCTGTGGCTGGCTGAGCTCCCTGCGTAGTGCGCGGTTCTCTTCCTCCACTTCTCGAACCCGCATCTCCAGGGCAAGTCGTTCCCGGGGGCCAGCCGACAGCGTGGCAGACTGGGCCTCGATGGGCGACAGTGGAATAGGCTTCACTGTTTGAGAACAGAAAGAGAGTAAGAACCACTGTCGGCTACTCGTCAAACGGCAGAAGACATTAAATGGCCCTGAAAATGGCAATGACCTGCTTAAAAAAACACCTTAGGTTAAGTGTAATTAGGTGATTTTCCCTTAAAATATTCCTTATTCCTTCCTGTCAAGGAGCATAGATGCATAGACGGACAAACACTCAGCCTGTGCTGTGCTCTGCGGTGTATTTTTTCACATATTTTATTATTCCTTGTGGATTGACTCTAACAATGCCCAGCAAGTGTAAATTTGATGTGAAAAATGATATTGGTGAAAAAGCAATGTAAAATGATTATACTAGAGACAAAAATGGCTGTATTAAGCAGATGTTAAAAGGGCGATGTTCATTATCAAAGACTGCATGTGAACTCGGACTGGCATTATCCACAGTGAATACCAATCCGAAAGACAATGAATAGCAGAAAATTCTAAAGGATCTGCCCCCAAGAAGTCAACTTTTATAACCATGCAGAGGGGAAATGTTATTGAGAAAACTTTTAATTTTGTAGACAGAGATCAACACAAAGTTGATCACAAAAAAAACACAACACACATGCCTCTAAGCTTTGCTCTCATCAATTAAAGTATGTGTCATCAAATATTACTTTCATTCTATGATCATTTGATCATTCGTCTCATCACTTTCTTTCAAAAATATTATATATGATAATACAGTATATACTGTACACACATTGTAATTTTACATACAAACGCATTAGATCATGTCTGCAATGCCTAGCTTTGTTGTCAGTATCCGGGTCATTACAAACTAGTGTTTCAAGCAGGATCTGTTTTATCACATAAAGCTGGCTAAGCATGGCACAAGTATACACGTATGTCAAAGGAAAAGTATTTTGTGAGTGATGTAAGGAAGTGACTAATGGCCACACATTTCTTGGAGAATCTGTCTGTGAAACGATGAGTCCAGGGGAAAAACCATAACCTGTGGAGGCCACGGCTGTAATTATAGGAACACAGCGGAGTCCCTGGAGGGCAGCCATCAGTGAAGATGGCAGTGGAGAGCGCAGAATACCCACAGCAGGAGTCACTGCTATTATTATTATACTTATCGATCGGGCTTGTGAGATCAATGGTTTTCTCCAAGACGTCGTCACTCATTTTTACACTCTCGCGCCACAGCAGCACAGCTCTGCTTCCCGGAGAGCGGGAAAGAGCTCTACCGCCCTTCAGCAGGTCCGGTACTTGACAGAAGTGGAGGGATGCACATGACCCTTGAAGGAGCTGAAGGTGCAGGTGTTGTAGCACACAGAGCGGCTTCTCACACTGTAGATCTCCAGCTCTGCTTTTTAGCCCAAACATGAGAGTGTGTTATCAAAGAGGTAGCTCACAGTCACCAAAGAATGACAGAAATGGGTCAGCTTTCCGAATGTGGCTTAACTGGCTACCTGAATATAATTTATTAGCAATACTGTCCGTAGAATGCACATTTTCGATTGTTTTTCATATATTATTCAGAATCCCAGGGTGCTTTTAATACTCCCAATCTCTGCCCAGTGTGCAACATTCACGGCAACAGAAAAACCATATTCAAGAACGTACAGGTCATTTCTTGGCGTTCTTCTGAAACAAAACAATGTACAGTATTTCCTGAAGGGAATCTTTTCAAAAGTGTATGAGAACATCAACTGTAGCAATTGCTGTATTTTGGAATGTGAGTGGTCTGAGGAATAGACCTGCTGTTTGAATCAGTGCAGTAGTGGGCTCTCCTACACTTCACTGAGCATACGCAGCCCGAGAGCAGAGTGCACAAGAGAAGAAAGATGATGGGCTTCCTTCTCCTTCATTATCTTCGGATTTTCCCTGCCATCTGTCAACACAATCAGGCGAACTCTGTCTCGCGAAAGGAGACAGAAGCAAAAGATATAAAAAAAAACCTTTGTCGCAAAACCACAATCTAATCCACACTACCATTACTAATAATTGTAATTTCAGCTGCTAGTTTTCTACACCTGTGCCACCTCTCTGGAAACAACATTTGATTAAAATACACAGGCGTGAACAGATTTGAGTGCAAACATTATCTAAGTCCTAAAACCGCAGGATAAATTCAGACTGGGCTTCTTCAATTGCAGTCACTGAGCTGGCAATCAATTCCTGTCAGCAAGATGCCGTCTAGCTATGCTGCCCGTAGGAAATGTGCAGCAGAATGAGACGTTCTGGAAACCCTTTACGTCTCAATATTTTGGGATGAAGATTTTACTATGCTGTTACCCCTGCAAAAAAATAACAAAAACAGTTCTCCAATTATTTAGTTTTTCCATTTACTGTACTTTCTCCTTCCGTGTAATGATTTTCCTGAGTCATCGCTGCATTCATACCTTCACCTTTTTTTCTTTCCCAGTACAGTATTAGGTCATAATAATGAAACATATATACCTAAGGGTAAATGGGGGTTAACAGAGCTCAAAGCAGCTTTTCAGCAGAGAAGAAGAGTGCCTCACCTGGTACTGGCTTTGGCATCTCACTGTATGCAAGCTGCACAGCCCGGATTCAAACAGACACTCTTCAGCTCAGAGGTTTCAATGAGAAATCCAGAGAGAAGCTTGTCATGAGCCATTGGAATCCCCATACTGTTGCCAAACACTCTTGTTAAAACACTGGCTCTCCGGCGGCAGCGCCTTAAGACTTCATATCGCAGCAGGTCTGGCAAGTCTTTGAGGAACTGAGGCACAGCTGTGGACTTGCAGTTGTAATTTATAATTTCCACAATTTCACACTTCTTCTACAAACGTGTTAAATCCTTTAATAAATTGTTACAATCCATATCGTTTACTTTGCAAAAGTTACATCAATATATTAATTACTAAAGTGGACTTACCACTAAAACTAGTGGACTAGCTTTGTTGGATGTTTAAATAATTTGTATGACCAACACTTTTGAGCAGAAGCCATGACGCAATAAAGTTGAAAGTATTTTTTTTGGGGGGGTTGAAAATTAATTTAAAGTTGTGAATGATCCCAACTGGAATTTCTTCCATCATTCTGAAAGCTTGTTTTTAGAAAACAAATACAGAAAACTGTTTTAGTGACTTTAAACACTGGGAGATGAATTTACTTATTAATTAAGTCATAAAAGTACCAAAAGCCAATGTGCTGTCCAAACAAGGTCTCACAGTGCATGAAATTAAAGCCTAATTTATGATGGCAGAAGGTCAATATGTAATGAAAAAAAGATACCACCCATTTTTTATAGTTTGCAAATGAAGCAACACTGTAAATAGCAGCACTGAAGTCAGAAAACACATATATTACCTTCTTATGGACACCATACAATTTGATCACAGGGATCCAAGAGAAAAATAAATTTAGTGGCAGAGAGTTAAAGCCTTCAGTGAATAAAGTTCTAAAAATCAAAACATTCCGTTTGGCAGAAATACTTTGCCTAAAGCAAAAAAAGAATGACTGAACCAACAAAATACAGTAAGTCACCAAAAGAACCAACAAAGAAATTAGAAGGTATACTGGAGCACAATATTGAGAGGCATACAAAGTAGAAAAAGACCTAATATTTACAGGCCAAAAGCACATACAGTTCACCACTAAGGGAAAGAGCAGCTTCTGCAACACTTCCTCCAAACAGAGCTGATATTATGACAGACAAACCAAGGGAATGAGATTATTATTCAGACTTAATCATTTCTACATTAACAGAATGCCTGGCACATACTAGTATTTCACAATTTAACCAACACTCTAAAATGTAACAGCTTTTTATAAATGAAGATACTCAGTTTCCAAATTTGGGTGTAAATTATTGAGTGTCTGGTTAGTGAACTGGTTAGGGTTCTAGACTGGAGTGTTCTGGGCTCTGATCTCATGTGGGAGAGTAATTTTGTACCCTACAGTAAAGGACTTCAATCAGATTTCTCTGGGAAACTGATCAGCTGTGGAAATAGGCACAAATGAAACAGGCATCAGACAAAACTGTCAGTAAATAATACATAATAAGCTAGCAATAACCATGATGTGCCGCATCTAGACATGTACAAGTAGCCCCCTTTGTAGTTAGTACTTACTGTATGAAGTCAAAAACTCAAATAATAACAGTAAAGCAGGTAATCAAATATCAAAAGGATATGTTGGTACCATACAATTGTAACCATACAAACTGTTTTGATGTTTAATATGATGTATATTATAAAACTAAAACAATTAAAAGAATAAAATATTTAGAGTCAAAAATCTCCTGAACACAAACTGACAACATTTTCCATTATGGGTGAAGATTCCTACAGTACAGTAGGTACCAGTATGTACATCAAGTGAAGCAGATCTGATGACTGGGCCATTACTACTGAGAGCATTAAAGCATTAAAAATGTCAAAATTAAGGATTTTGCAATTATGATAATTAACTAATTCAATGATTAAAAAGACATGAATGTTGAAGTGGAAAAACAATTCTGAGAACATAATCGGAGGTCTCAAAGGGGGTGTCAGAGAAAGGTAGCTTGAATCAGGGTTGTGGACATTGGTGTCCTTCTGTGACAGTATTTGTCCTGGGGGTCAGACTTGACCATCAACCCACATGTGACGAGCGCATTGGAAAGGAGCTAAAAACAGTGAAATGCGTTCATTTGTTTTAGGAAGAAAAAGAAGTTTCTCCCTCAGAAACGAAAGTAACAGAGCTCTCTTTACACAGCTGAACTTCCTGTGAAGTCTTGTAGCACCAAGACCATACAGTTAAATTCAAAGGCATTATTGCCCTTTTCTATGACATTTCACAGGATTTAGGCAGTGCCTGGCTTACTACTGTACAGGTACGTACTTAACAGCTTCTTGGATCTTCTTCTTGAATTATGGATCTTGAAAAATGTGTATGAGAAGCTATTTTCATTACAGATAAAAGAAGGAATGAAACACATTAAAGACCGTGAAGGAAAAAGACAAGGTGGTAGAGTATGACTAAGGCATCATAAAATTTGTGGGTCAAAACCCCCACCTCC